CTCTATTTCAGCTAAAAACCAGGACAGTGGGCTTTTTTTCAGAACCATATTCAAACAAAGCTTGAGAGGAAACTACATACATTCAGAGTCTGCAGCATTTTATTTCTGTTTGGATGAAAATAAGCTGCTCAGAATATTCTTCAGGCCATTTGTATCCAATAGAGATAAGGTTAAAGGATAGATCATATCAATAATGACAGCAGCTAATGCAGTGTCTCTTGGTTTTAGACTTTATTGAGAATTTGTCATACCTGTGATGATAAGGGAACAAGAAACCTCTTGTGCTTCTTCGACTAATATTTCTCTTCCAGTCTCTGATAGTCTTTGGTGGGTGTGATCATCACTTCTGTCATGGAGTTGTGCAAGTCCAAAACTATGTTACAACTGTTGTCAAATAAACTGGAATGTACTACAGTGAGTGCTACTTGAGAGCTGTGAATGATAGAAAACATATAATCAGACAATTATTTGAATTTTAAGAAAGTTAATTATAATAGTTCTTTGTTATCAATATATGTAGTTATTACGCAGTCGGTATATGTAGACTCTCTAGTAAAAGGGCAGAAGTACAACCACTACAATAATGAAATGAGTCAGTATATTAATACATACTGTATGTAACTATTTGATGCATCTCATTGCATGACCATCTTCCTTTTTTGATAAAAGATTTATCTAGCAGGGACTTTTTATGACAAAGAGGCTTGTGGATGTTTGGATTACCTCATAATTTGTTCTCTGTTTTGAGAATCAAGGTCATTCATAATGTAGGAATTTTCTCAGCATATAGTGCTTATTAAAAGACATGAGTTCCAAAGTGCATTTGGAACAGACATCTTGCATGTTTATTTTCCAGTATGTTTTCTGAGAGTATAGAAGTTGCACAAACAACTTTGTGCTTGTCAAACAAAAAAGCGCTCTTCTCTGGATGATCCTGATCTGGCTTTAATTACTCTAAGTGCAGAGGATGTATCATGCTAGGGTGTTTATAAACTTACTCTGATCAGGTAGGAGCAAATAAGAAGAGGGATATGGTTGCAGTATGTTTGTCTGCTATGCAGAACATCATCAAAATGTGCTTAGGAACTGGCTGCTATTTTTAAAAGGTAGATTAAGTTTAGAGTTTGATCTACAGAATGACCTCCTTTTAAAAATCAGCCCTTAGTAGAGGATAGGTTTCAATCTACAACAATAAAGATAAGCACCAGAGTTTTTAGCATTTCTGAGATGAGGTGAGCATTAGTACAGTATCCTTACAAAAATCCTAATTAAACTTTAGTTTAAAAAAAAAAAAAAGTTTTACAGTGAGGTGATATTTACAAAACTTGATGGTACGTATATGTGGGGCTCAGAAAAGCAATCCTTAGTTTTAGATGGCTTTTAGGAGTCATTCATTCCCTGTTGATTCCAAATTAATGTCTTCACTATGCCAGAAGTATAAAAAATTCCTTACCTAAATGTAGCCTTAAAAACAGGTAACTTTAAGAATTCTTGTCTGAGATAAGGTAAAAATACTTCCCAGGCACATTTGTTTAAAAAAAAGAAAATTAAAAAAATTGTTAGTTATTCTTAAACTTTGAAATTACTTTTTGTTCTTCAACAATTTTGGTTTTTGAAGCTTTACCTGAAGCTTAAATAATTACACATTTTTAGTCATAGTTCTGAGGAAATTTTATTTTTACCCTCTCAGTTTACATTAGATGTATCTTAAATTTCATTTTACTGACTTCTATTAATGTGGATAGCATTGGAGGTGTCATTGCATCATTTAACTTTTCACTATTTGTATGAGTGCAATCCCCACTTTTAATACTTTACAAAGCCTTGATGTGGTTTCCTTTGATTTCTTCTACAGACTGAAGGAGAGCAGCATGTCTTTCTACTAGGTTTTGTTTGAAGTATTTCTATGCACACCTCTGTGTTTTTCTCGAGTTCTATAATTTTTGCTTAGTATACATCAATGCTTAAAAAGCCAAACTCTTAAGAAATACTGGAAAAAATATTGTATATTTACAAGTGAGTTCAATTAGATTATTCTTAGCACTATAGTTTTTTTTCATTCAGCTCCAAACTTTATGATGATGATGATAGCTTTGTCAGTCTGGGAAAAAATAATTGCCCCGGACATTTACATTCTTAATTACCAAGATCTACCATGAGTTTATCCAAAATAGTGTTGTGCACACAATGATATTTATAGACCGTGATTTCATTGGCAGACATTTTGGATTGTATCTTTGACTCCAAATTATTCTTCTAATGCTTATCAGGTCAGAAAACTTGTTCAGTGCTTTGGAAGCAATTGGTCATGTTAACACATTTTTACTTCTCTTCCTCTACATTTTTAGCTTTTCCATCATAAGGACACAACATGATTTTACTTGTGGGTTTTTTGCTTGTTTTTAAAAGCAGTCTGCTTCATAAATGGATAAATGGGACTATACTTAATTTTTCAAAAACATGATTCTTAGATACATTAAACACATCACTCTTTCTGTTTTATTATATTTATGTATTATATTTAATGTATGTCAGATTGTGTATTGCAGAGGTGAGTGCCCTTAGTACTTTGAGATTAATATTTACATGTGAAAAGCTTTATTCTTGGAAAGCGTATTTGTTTCTCATCTTTTCTCACTCTGGCAAACACATACATATTAATGTTTTATAGGCAGTTTGTATGATCCTAAAATGACAGGAAACTACTCTAGAAAATATCAGCCTCTGTTTCTGTGTCGTATTTTTTTATATGAAATTACTGGATTTAGTTGTGTTAACATTAATAACTTTATATACCTTTTATATAGGCATATGCTGAAAGGAAGATGGTATGTGGAAAAGGTCATCAGGGCCTTTGTGTTAAAGCCCTCTTTTCACACAACGTTGTTGAAATGGGTCTATGTCTTGTACCTGAATATTGATTACTTCATTCTTAAGTGTAGATTTGCCTAGAACCTTAATTTCTCTCCTGCTTAAATGCTTATGGAAAGAATTAGTCATGTTATATGATATAGACAATTCACTTAATGAGCTTTATCTGAGTGGATGGGGAAATATATTGGTTCACAGGCATATCTTGAATGATTTCTGTATCTGGGATGGGTTCTCTGAAAAGAACAGTTATATTTCCTTGGATGATTCTGTTCAAGGACAAAATAATCTTGAAGAGAAGAGATTAGGTGAGATTAATTTGCTTGAAAATAGTGAAAAGGATAATTTCCTGAAGCAAGTATAGTAATAAGGTATTTTACCAAGCCTTTTTTAATTTTTAAAATTTCTTTTCCATATTATTATCATCTCCTGTTTTACAGAATTCTGAATGTCAGTTGAATGAAGAAATTATGGAGCACTCTAGGAGAGTATTTCCCTCTGTGGTAAAATACATTGTAGATATGCTTATATGGGAAGAAGAGAAGGAACTGCCTCCGGAGCTCACATTTAGGTAGGGGTATTTCCAACTTTCTCTTCAAGGCATTAGAAAACTTGATAATAATTTTGCCTGTGGTATTCTCCCATTCATGCAAACATATCAGTGCAAAAATCCCTGTAATCAACACTGTAGCACTTTTGACCTACAGTTATATAGAGAAAAGCTTTTGATAACTCATGGAAAAAGTAGTATGTGGCTGTGCTCCATCAAAATGGAAGAAGACTGTTATGCATAATGTTAAAAAGACTAATGAGATCATAAAACAGGAGAGAAAGGAAATAATAATGGAATAATAAAATAACTTGAAATCTCTTTTGTATTTGGTACATGGTTTCTGAGGCTTATTGTGGTATAGATGGTGAGGGAATTCTTGTGTGTGTCTTTGATGTGAAGAACATGCTTAATTTTCTTCTATAATTTTTTTTGTATTTGACGTTTCTCTCAAGCGATCAAGTGAGCTGTTGCTTGTATTGGATAGGACATTATTTACAATTGTATTTTTATTTCTATGATGACATGTTGGCTTTTTCCCAGTAGAGAGAAGGTAGACAGCTACTACTGTGTCCTTTTCAATGATGAACATCATTCTTACGATCACGTCATCTATAGCCTGCAAAGGGCACTTGGCTGCGAACTTGGTGAAGCCCAGTTGCATACTACTGCCATAGATAAAGAGGTTAGTGCATTCTGGATATGGGAGGAAGTAACTTTTTAATCATTAAGAAGTGCTGCTACAGTCTCTTGATCATAGAGTCTTTGTTTCTGGGATGCTGGAGCTTGAGGAGAGAGAAAGGCATGTTGCAGAGTAACTGTTAATCAGCAGTTGCTTCAAAAAGTTTTTCAACTGTATTAATTTTTCTTTTCAGGACAAAACCTAGTTTCTTAACAAAGGGAAGAGCTGATTTATCAGAAGTTGCTCCTTTCCTGTTTGACATTTTTTCCTTTTTTTTTCCTCTCAGTTGAGATTAATGTTTTATTTTAATGGCATTTGTCTGAAAAATATACAAGTTGGCAATATGCATCTTCAGTTATGTTTAATCAGAAATGTACCTTGAATTTTGTAAGAGAGTGTGCTCGTTTTGGCTCAGGCTTAATTTGAAAATCATAAATTTTCAAATTAAGCAAATAAAACCAGGAAGAATACATGAAGGAATGTGGGTGAACCTGACAGTTTTACTACTTCATTTTTCAAACTAATGTCCCATGTAAAGACCTTTCACTAGTAATGTAAATTTTTTCTTCCACTGGGGGGAAAAAAAAAAGCATGATCAATGTTTGAATTATCTTAATTGCAACCATATTTTTTTACCTCACAAAAATACAAAACTTATGTGTTTGCACACAGAGAAACTGTCTATAGCTGTATATGTATTTGTTATATATTTACATATAAAGCATCTTACTAATATTAGTATCCTTTTTTAATCTGTAAAAACTGTGGGGGTTCTTTGTGTTTCTCTTTGTTCAGGTAATGAAAGTTTGGGTGGATTTCGTTAGTAGTGTAAGTCTTATGTAATTACAAGGCTTGTCCTCCAGTTGCAGGTTTTGTAAATTATGCATGCATGCTTATAGAGTAACTTTTAAAGGCTTCCGTTATGAAGGTTCCTTCTGATTGAAACCTAAATTTTACATCCAGAGTTGATCAGACTTCTTGTTTTACAAAGTACTTACTGCAGCACAGGACTGGGTTATATTGTTCTAATTGTAACAGTTCCACAACATGCAGTTACTTCCTCTCTTCTTGTGTGAAATTCTGCTGTGTGGAGAACTTGTTTTTGAATCCCATACCTCTGATTTCCTTTGAGTGGAATTTGAGGTCTAAGCTGAACTTGTTCTTGGCTTTATTGTAAGAGCTATCAAACCCATGCTTATAATTTACTCTGCTGTTTCATATATAGAAGTAAGAAATAGTAGGAAAGATTGTAGAAAAGCAATTCAAGATGAGTGTACTTTGTGATAGGAAGAAGGTTGATGTAGTTTGTATTTAAAGCATTCTGCAGAAATCCCTCTCATCTATTTTAATGTGTATGTGAATTTTCTTTATCTAATAATATTAAGACACCCAGACTTTACTTTGTCATTCTGTTGTTTAATTAATTTAATTAAAATACTTTTTTCTAAAGATAATTATGTTAATTTTTATTACTTCTAGATGTCTAAAAGCTCCATGAGTGATGTTGTTCCCTGTTTTTCTTTTATATATACGAAACAGCAAGGATCAGGCTTGTGTTCTTTTTTTTTTATATTGGTCTCATGCTCAATATTTTCTTTGAACAGGGTCGTAGAGCTGTTAAGGCAGGAAATTATGCCTCTTGTCATGAAGCAAAAGAAGAAATCAAGGTAAATTCCTAAAATATTTTTCTCATTTAAAAACTAAACAAGTCAACCTCATCCTTATTAATACTGAAGACTTATTTGTATGCTCTACAGTCTTTAACTTGGTACTTTCATGCTTTTATAACCTCCTTGTGAACTTTTTGAAATTGAATTTAGTCTACCACATTTGGTATAGACAGATGTCTTCAGAAATAAAAGGTCAAGCTGTTTGGGTTTTTTAATTTTATTTTTGTTAGGGTTTCCCATTAACATGTTTTTGGGAGAGGTAATGGGTAGTAAAAAAAAATATGAAAATTCATGTTATCTTTATTTTATCTCTACTAATATTTATCTGACTCCTAGAGGCATTCTGAAAATGTTTCTCAACGACCACTTCATGTGGAGGTTCTGCATGCTGATGTTATGGCTCACCAGAAGTTTGCCTTGCGCCTTGGTTCTTGGCTGAACAAACTCATGAGCTATTCAAGTAAGCATAACAGCAAAAAAAATATGACAATAATGTCATGTCGGTATTTGAATCACTAATTCTCTCAAAAAAAATATTTTGTTTAGCAGTGTTATATATGATATTCCCTTATTAAAATACTTTTACATTCCTCCTAATGAGTAAATGAATAATACAGTAGTATGGGTGCTGATATCCATCAGTATGGTTATGAATAGCAGGACTTTTTTGTTCATTCTTGCTAAAATAAGTGTCTTTCCCTGGTTGAGCTCTGTCTGTTCTTCTAGAAGTTTCTTTTTATCCTCTGTTTCAGCATCACATGCCCCATTTCAGTGACTTCTGGCTTAAAAGCTGCTCTCCTCAGTGCTGGTAGAAAGCTGCAGAACATCTCCATCAGTGAAGGCATACTTCCTCTGCTTGAATTAATTCCTGCTTCAGATTTGATAGCTGTGATTAATTAGACAGTAAAACAAACAATCAAAAGCCTTAATTTTAAATTTTGTCCAGTAGTTGAAAGTCTGTTTTAAGCTTTCGAACATTGTTCAGGTATTTGATGATGCTGATGGTTTTAAAGACTTCTGAATCAATCTAACTTTTGATTTCTGTTACTGGATTTTGTCATGCCTGTGTTTTACCAGTCTAAAGCCCTTTTCCCCCCCCCCCACCATACAAATACGTGTAGGTTAAGTTCTACTCACTGCTTATCCTCCTTGATAGGGTAAATCTGTTGGTCTACTTTGGCAGCTTTTGTAAGCTTGGATAATAAAGTGAATTTCTTATATATTTTTTTTTTTTTCCTGGACACTTACTTTCCAGTATTTCCCTTGAAATACAAGTATCAGAATTGTACCTTTTTGTAATCCCTCACAATATTTTACAATTTTTAGCTTTATGCTCTTTTCAACTTTGTATTTATTTCACTGATGGTATTTTCTTGCTGATCTGAGTTCTTCAGACAGTTCTTTTAATTGGTACAAATTTTTGGCTGTGTGGTTTATTTCAGGATTTCTAGTGAAAGTTCAATTTTTATCCACATTTTTCTTTCTACATATTTTTAATTATTTTTTTTCAATTTTATAAGATTCCTGTATTTAAAACACCAACTGACAGCTAATTATTCAGTTGTTCACTCTGAGTATAGACAAGTTGGTGTCAGTGCCCTAGCAAATCCCCCAAATTATAGATTTTTAAGCATTACCTTTTTAGCTGTTGAGATAAGCTAAAATTAAAAAGGAGTCTCCTGTGTTGGGTGTAGCATTTTGGGTTAGGAAATTGTTATAATTTAACTAATATTTGAATATGTTTTATGAGAGTCTTCAAGCACAAAGACTGAACTCTAACATTCCTGCATTGTTCTTCTGGATTATATATGTAGATGCTTTAAGAATCTGATGTTTTGTACTCAGATAGAATTTTTGGTGGTCTAGTTGTTCCTGTTCTTTTCCTGGTTTTGCTTCAAGTGGTCAGGAAGCATTCAATACTATTTATTTTCAGGTTGTCAGGAACTTGATCCATAACACTCCACTTCTCCTTTTGAAATTAGTAATGTAAGAGCTCATTTTTGAATGTTAGTAACCCATGGGCGACTCTGATATGGTGATCCCAAAACAGCTTCAGCAATTACTGTATTTACTGATAGGTGCAAGAAAATATAAATAATGTTCTGAAATTCTACAAAAAACTGACTTTCAGGGCCCAAGGCAGGGACCAGCATAGACTTTTAAGCCTGTGCATTTTTGTGCTGACATAGTGAACTCTTCTTATGGATCTGCTTTGCAAAACTATCTAAATGCTTTTCATTTTAAAATACTCTTTTGCATCACTGCATTTATTAAATAAAGTAGATAAGAATAATAGCAAGAAGGTAGTAAGGGGAGAGTATGTGGGAGTATGTTCACTGAGAAAAAACTTTGTTAAAAAATAATTCATACTTAAGTGCCTTATTTTTTTTTCTTAACAGAATTCTGTAATTCTCATTTTGCTGACTCATATAATTTAGTTATTGAAGCATTCTTGTACAAATGATTGGTTTTATGCCTTTAGGTGACTTTCGCCAGATCTTTTGTCAAATATGTCTTAAAGAAGAAGCTGGGTCTGAAAAGCCATGCTTCATAAGCAAGTTGATGCTATGGGATGCAAAGCTTCATAAAGGTTTGTGTATCCATGTTGCTATAAACTGAAGAAGCAAATTAATTTTTTATGTGTGTAACAAATGTGTAAAAGTAAGTGCTGTTCAGGTGCAGTTACATTTCTTTATAGGTTTTATATTATGGTTTTCATACAGCCTTTATTTTTACAGCTGAGATAATTGATATTTTGGGTATGTGTTCCTCCTAAATTTTTCCTGCTTTATGTATTTTGAAGAGTCTTTTCACAAGAATGGCCAGAGGTGTCAAAAACTACAGGAAAGGATTCTTCAGGTACATAAACAACAAACAGAAACAGAAGAAAAATACTGGCCCCCTGTTAAACAGGAGAGGTGAATTAGTCACCAACAATGCTGAAAATGCAGAGTGAAAATGCTTTCTTCACCTCTATCTTTACCAGCACTGTTGGGCCCAGGCCTTGGGCCATGTAAACAGACTCGCCATCAGTGAAGGAAGAGTTAGTATGCTATTACAGGAGCTTGACCCCTACAAATGGATGGTCCCAGATGTTAACCACTGAGGGTGTTAAGAGAGCTGGCTGACACCATTGTGAGGCAGCTCTCCATAAAGAAGTTGTGGAGACTGGGGGACGTCCCAGAAAACTGGAAGAAGGCTAATGTCACCCCCACCTACAAGAAGGGCTTCTAGGAGGATCCAGGAAATTATATGCCCATCGATTTTTACTTCAGTCCCTGGGAAAGTTACAGAACAAATCCTTCTGTGGGCTATGTCAAATGAAACATGTGACTGGGAAAAGCCAGCATGGATTCACCAAGAGCAAATTGTGCTTGGCAAACCTGATCACCTTCTACAACAAAGTAACCTGCTTGGTTGATGTGTGGTGAGCAGTGGACATTGTCTACCTGGATTTCTCCAAGGCTTTTGACATAGTTCCGCACAGCCTTCTCCTAGAGAAACTGATGCATTACGGTCTAGACAAGTGGTCTATGCAGTGGTTTGTGAACTGGCTGACAGGTGGCACCCAGAGGGTGGTGGTTAATAGTTCTTTTTCAAATTGGCAACCTGTTGCAAATGGGGTCTCCCAGCAATTGATATTGGGCACAAAACTGTTTAATATCTTCATAAATGATCTGGCTGATGGGATCAATTGTACCCCGATGAAGTTTGATGACGACAGCAAACTGAGTGGGGAAGTAGACACTTCAGAAGGGAGAGCCGGCCTGCAGGAAGACCTGGATAGGCTGGAAGAGTACGCTTAACAAGAACCTTTTGAAGTTCAACAAGGGAAGGGTAAGGTCTTGCACCTTAGAAAACATAATCCAGGAGTACAGCACCGACTGGAATCTACCTGGCTGGAGAGCAGCTCTGTGGAAAGGGACCTAGAGGTCCTGGTGGACAAGCAGCTCAGTATGAATGAACTGTGTGCTGCAGTGGCGAAGAAAGCCAGCAGAATGCTGGGTTGCATCAACAAGGGCATCACTAGGAGAGATAAAGAAGTCATTATCCCACTCTACTCAGCATTTGTCAGGCCACACCTGGAACATTGTGTTGAGTTTTGGTTCTTGCTACACAAAAAAGATGTGGACAGGCTGGAGAGGTTCCAGAGAAGGGCCACAAAGACGGCCAAAGGACTGGGAAGCCTGCTGTATGAGGAAAGGCTGAGAACTGGGTTTGTTCAGCCTTGAGAAAAGAAGGCTTAGGGGAGACCTCACCACCACATTCCAGTATTTAAAGGGTGGCTACAAAGAAGATGGAGACTCCCTTTTTACAAGGAGTCACATGGAAAGGATGAGGAGTAATGGGTACAGGTTACTCCTGGGGAGATTCCAATTGGACACAAGAGGACAGTTTTTCATGGTGGAATAATCTCCCCAGGGAAGTGGTGGATTCCCCAACATTGGACACTTTAAAGGTTTGGCTGGACAGCGTGCTGGGCCATCTTGTCTAGACCGTGCTTTTGCCAAGAAAGGTTGGACCAGGTGATCCTTGAGGTCCCTTCCAACCTGGTATTCTATTCTATGGTTCTGTGAAGATGTAGCCTGACTATGAGGGACTTGATGCTTACTCTGTGTTTTAAATACATACCAATAAATGTTAAAAATAGAAAAAAAAATTAATAACTTTGTTCATATACTTAGTAGCTATTTCAAGGCTTGTAATGATTTTTAATTATAATTTAATAATCTGTTCCCATTTTCCACAAAAAGCTGCATCTTAGTACAATAAAGTGATGTGCATTGTATTGGCTCTTCACAGGGGCAAGGAAGGTTCTTCATGAACTTATCTTCAGTAGTTTTTTCATGGAAATGGAATACAAAAAACTTTTTGCTGTGGAATTTGTGAAGGTAAATGGTTATTTGTTTTTTATGGTATGAGTTTTTACTAACTTCAGAAAATTTCCCCCAAACTTGACAATTGTTTCAATATAAATAATGAATTTTCAACAAGCAGAGCTTCAACAACTAGCTTAGCCTTTATAGCGTGCATTAATTCCCGTGTCATTGGTTTATTTTTTATAATCATGTAGGTATATATGTTCATTTGGAATGCAATATTGCTAATATTCTGTATATCTTTTGAAATGGTAGATGAACTGCAACTGAAACTGGTCTTTTTAAAAAAAAAATTAGATATGATAGTTAAGAAATATACAAAACAAGACAAAGTGGTTTAGGGTGAGGCTTTTTTAAATCCTGATAAAGGTGACTGACAGTTCATGTGTTTTTCTGGACTGGAAACAAAGCAAACAAAGACTTACATTACTTACATTACTCATCTCTTATAGACAGCTGTTGAATAACTATACATGCAGTTCACTACAGGAGGAAGACTTGTTTTATAATAAGTTAATATATTTATTGATTGTTTTTTCAGATATTTCATTTATTTTCTTGGGGAAGATTAATTGTAGGAGAAAAAATATTTTGGTTCAGATCTAGCAGAACAGTTAAATTTGTGCTTATCTTCAGTGTTAAGGCAGTGGGGCACATACTTAATTGCTTTGGTGCTTTGAGGACATTGTGCCGTTTTTATTTGAACTGCTTCTATTAGAAAGGAAGAAGGACATTGAGATGTAATTCTTGCAAATAAAAAAGTAAAAATTTTTAATTAACATTTTATTTATTTAATTTCCCCAATATTCTCTTTTCTTAGTATTACAAGACATTGCAAAAAGAATACATCAGTGATGATCATGACAGAGTTCTCTCTGTGACAGCACTCTCAGTTCAGATGTTCACCGTACCTACTCTGGTATGTACAGCCTGTCGGCACTAGAAATGTAAAGTTAATTTTGAGAATTGCTAGCAGTACCACCTTTGCAGGCTACTGTACTTGGCAGAGAATTTTTATGCATTGCTGAGTTGAAAATGAATGATTCTGAGATTTGTTAAGGCCAATATGAAAGCAGGAGCTTGAGTTTATGTGAAAATTCATTACAGAAGGTAGAGGGCATGCAAATAAGTGGAAGTCTTAGGCAGCATTGTTCTCTGCACTGACTTTCTGTGTTCATTTACTGTTCACATTTATCTTCTTAAGTAACTCTAAAAACCTGGGGGGAGAGGGCAAAAAAATTGGTTGAATGTCTTTTTGTGTGGGTAAAATTTGTTAAATCCTCTGGTGGGAGTGAAACATACGTGTAGGTTTTAAAGATTATATATTTCTTACCTGAAGTACTAATGTAAAAGTCCTTTTCTATATGATCTTTCTAGAAAAAATAGCATGTCTTGTTACATTGAAGCTGTCAGGCTGAGCAAACAGGCTAAGCTGATAGAAATTGTTTTCGTACATAATAAATATCATGGGAGTTTTTGTAGCTTGGACCATTTATAAATGCTTAAAATAACTTCTAGTCAAAAAGACTAGATTCAAAGGAAAAATTATTTTAACAGTTCTCTTAAACAAAAATAGGAAGAAAATTTTTAAATTTCCTTCTTGCAGGCCCGACATCTTATTGAAGAGCAAAATGTAATCACCATCATTACAGAGACACTCCTAGAAGTGCTTCCAGAGTATCTAGACAAAAATGACAAGTTCAACTTCCAAGGTTACAGTCAGGACAAACTGAACCGGGTATATGCAGTAATATATGACCTCAGGTAAGTGTAAATCTAAGAAGCTTGAGCAATTCTTAGAAAACTGGCAGTAGGATGAGATGTTTCAATTCAGGAATCTGATGATAAAACTGCTTTAAAAACAAACCCCAAACCAAGCCCCTCAAAAAGCACACATGAAAACTTAATGTTTTATTTTTCAGTGGAAACTTAAAATTTTCAGATACCAAAATTATACTGTATAATGACAATTTTTGATGATTTTCACTGATATAATTCCATATAATAATTGCATTAATAAACAAAATATATCTACCCTAAGACAGTGTGGGAAATTCAGCTTCTATTTATTAGCATTCTGGGAAAGCTGTATAATTCTGATCTGCATAGCATTTTCCACTCTTACAGGTCCCGAATTACTCTAATAAACTGAATAATACAAAGGCAAACCATTCCAAATACCTTGAAATTAAAAAAATCTGATAATTTCAAATGAGGGAGTCACGCTAATCAACTCTGATGAAAATTTGAGGAGGAGCTTGAGATAGGGGTGGTGATGTAATGTGATGATGCAGTTGATTATTTTAAACAAAGAACACTTTAAATACAAGCATAAGCAGAAGAGAAGTTTGAGCAAAAGGTGATAATATTTTCTTTGCGGACAGGTATGTCTTAGTCAGCAAGCCTACATTATGGACAGACCGTCTGAGGGAGCGGTTTTTAGAAGGATTTGTTTCTTTCCTAAGGATTCTAACTTGCATGCAGGTACAAAACATTTAAATAATTTCCTTTTAATATGCTGTTATAAAGATATTACAGCACTTTTGTTTGCTCATCTTTTTGTCCATAACAGTATTGTGGATATAAACATGTAATTACGATGGTAAATTCTTTAATCCCTGTCTTGGGTGGGTGAAAAAAAAATTACTTTATAGAAGTAATATTAATTGATTTTAGCTACATGTATCTGAACAACCTATATTTTACCATTTTCTTATAGGATTTTGTGTTGTTTTAAGCCTGTGATCACTGATTTAGCTTGAGTTATTTTGTGGCATCTCCGTTTCAGGGAATGGAGGAGATAAAAAGACAGATTGGTCAGCACATTGAGGTGGACCCTGACTGGGAAGCAGCTATTGCTATACAGATGCAGCTCAAGAACATTCTTTTGATGTTCCAGGAGTGGTGTGCCTGTGACGTAAGTATATCAATTATCTGGGATTCTTACATGTGTGCCTTTTGTGAATATTCCTGAGTGCTTTTTCAAAAGCTCACCATTGTTCAACACAAATCTCCACAACAGATGAGTCTGAAAGAATTAATCTGTGGTGTGACAAAGAGAGAAGGAACCTCAGAAGAATACAGTCTTGTAGCTGACAAAGATGCACAGGGTGTCAGGCAAATCATAAAGAGAAAATACTTCTCATAATTCAATATTTTGATAATTAGGCTCATGGTCTCACTGTTAAGCTTTAAGGTTTTGAGGCACATGGTGTTTATTTTTAATTGTAAAAGTGGACTGCAGAAACTTTGTTCTAATTGTGTAATTGCACTGTAAGTAGTCTTAATCAGTGCTGGAGCTCGTCCCTGTGCTGGGTGAAGGGAGGAAATTGTGGAATTTATTAACTGAAAAATATTTTGAAGTAGGTTAAGTAGGTTTCCTTTTTTTTCCACTAGGAAGAGAAAGGAATACCTACAGCAGTTCAGGAGCTTCTTAATCCAACTTGGGGTGCCAACTATGCAAAATATTAAAATATTGCAGCTTAAATAAGCACATAGATTTTTTTGAGCATTTGACAGAGCAGCTTTTTTGAATAGAAGCATATTCTCAATTAGCTTTAGTGGGTGCTCCACTGCTCCAGTCCGGTAACTTCTCAGTATTGAGAAACAGAGTAATAATTATATTGTGGATTTTTGGTAACTGTTTATGCTTTCAGAAAAAACAAGTGAGGAATTTTAGTAGATGTGACTTTAAATATAATGCTGTGTATTTATTTTAAATTCCAGGAAGAGCTGTTGCTCAGGGCCTACAGTGAATGTCATAAAGCTGTGATGAGGTGCAGCACAAATGGCCGCTTACGGGAAAAAACAGTGTTTCACTTGTGTGGCCATACTCTGGAGAGCAGACCTTACAGAGTGTCTGCAGATCCTGTCAGTATACATTTACCGCTGTCTAGGACTCTTGCTGGTAGGTAATGTGTTTTGTTTTGATTGCTATTTGAATTACATTTATCATCCATCTCTATTTCTGTACTTTAGAAAGCATTTAGATTAAGTGCTTCACAGTTCAGTCACTCTCTGACTTTCTGACATTCTCATGATCAAGCAACCCTGTTCCCCAGATGTCCCACTAAGGGAAAGTTTTTTATGAAAAAAAAAACCAAACCAAAACAAAACCATTTGCCACGGAGGTTGGAGGACACTTTTAAACAGGAGAGAGATAAGAAAGTTTAATGTTTTAATGAGATCTTCAGTTTTCTCTGGACTATTTCAATTTGTGAGGTTCTGTTTCTATTTCTACCTGTTTTGCATAAATGAATGTTCATTATTACTGTATCTCAAATTTATTTTCCAACCGGTTAAAATGCTCTTCCTAAAAGACATATGTTTCCAGCATTCCAGGACAGATTTCCAGTCAGAATACAAAGGATCACAGCAGTGGGTGATTGCTGCTTTCTCTAGAATACAAATGAAATCATATGCTATTATTAAGCTGTAGGCTCTTTATCACGTAATTTGATACCAAGATACCATCTGTTAAGCCTTGTAGTTTTGAAATTCAGTTATTACTGACATGGTTTAAACATGCAATTAAAATTTTGCTATTTAGTATGATTAGACGCTAATACTATTATTTAGCATCTCAATTTAAATGGTTTTGATTAATTCCTTAAATGAATAGATTTGTTCATAAAATAATGGATTGCAAGACTGGTAAGAACTGTTGTGATAATGTAATAGCTCTTCTATCTTTTTTTTTTTTTCTTCTGTAAATCTCTGAGTCGTAGATGACTTAGCTAGCATTTAGAATGGGTTGGAGGAGAAACTTGACTGATTTTGATTTGTTTTCTAATTTTTTTCCTATTGGTTTTGTAGGTCTTCATGTACGATTAAGCAAGACTGGAGCCATCTCAAGACTGCATGAGTTTGTTTCTCCTGTAAGATTTTTCTTCCCCCCCCCCCCTTCCCCCAAAATGCTTCTTGTGATTCTCTACTCTGGAAGGAAAAAATTATATCTTGTAACTTTCATGGCACATAGACAACTGTCAAGGTGTCTTTGTTTGTTAGGACATATACTTTTAAAATCTCTGTCAGACTTGTTCTTATGTTTTTTTTCTTTATTTTTTTTAAATTCTAGGAAGAATTTCAAGTGGAGCTGCTAGTAGAATATCCTTTGCGATGTCTTGTCTTGGTTGCTCAGGTTGCTGCAGAGATGTGGAGAAGGAATGGGCTCTCCCTCATAAGCCAGGTACTCCCTACAGTATTCAGTAGTGAGTCGGTCCCAATGGTGTGTGCAAGTGTTTCTCAGGAGCACTCCCAGTGGTGGTTTCATCCACTGCAGAAACAGGTCGTGGAGGTCACTCCTTCACTAAATAGGTTTCTGGATGGGAATTTAGATGACTTGTTTTTTTTCCATCTTCATCAATGGCTTTCCTCCTAGTATTAGACAAGTATTTTCATCTCTTATGACTGTTTCTGGCTTTGTGAAATTGTATTAATGTTACTGACATCTACCGTAAACTACTTTCAGATTTGATAAAGAAATCATTGCATAAGTACTGTTAGTACTGTTGCTTCTAACACAAAGTGTTAGAAGAATCTCTTAATGTATGCTAATCATTATATGCAAAAGTTAAAAAGTTAAACTCATACTAAATTTTTGAGTGCCATGTAACTGGACATAACAAACATCTTATAATACTTGTGGGCTTTTTTGTTGCAAGAGTAAAGGTAAAAGGAAGAGTCTACCCTTAAGTACCTGGATTTTGCTCGCTTTGGTGTAACTTTTTTTTTTTTAATTTGGTGGCAGAAATTTTCTGTGTTTACCTTTCACAGGACCCTTTGGTGAAATCAAAGTAAATATTGGTATTCCCCTGTAGAACTGTCTCTGAGAACTGGGGTAGGAGAATGAGGGTGTTTTGACTTTAATCAGTAGCAGCCATTAGAATTATGTTGTCTTGGAAGGGGGTATGAAGTACAGCATAGACTTTCTCTGAATGGGTGAAAAAAACATTTTTCACTTCCATCAAAGTACACAGTTGTTTTGAAAGGAAGATAGGACTTTCCTTTACTCAATAAAGGTGATATATAGTATAAAAAAGCCTCAGACATTAACTGGTGCACATTTGATAGTGCATTACTTTACTTCTCTGTTTAAATTTTGCTTTCCTATTTCTCAGGTATTCTATTATCAGGATGTTAAATGCAGAGAAGAGATGTATGATAAAGACATCATCATGCTACAGGTAAAATGTTCTGAATCATTGCTTGCTTGACTCATAAAATTTTCTTGGAATTTCTTTTAATTTTAATTAAATTTGTATGATTTTAAATTTTTTTCTTGGTAAAAGTGTATTTTTCGTAACTAATGAAGAACTGTAATAGTAACTGATGTTCATATTAATTTGTTTTTTTTGATAGATAGGTGCATCTCTTATGGATCCAAACCAGTTCCTCCTGCTGATGCTGCAGAGATATGAGCTTGCTGATGCTTTCAAAAAGATCAAGCCTACCAAAGATCAGGTAAGTGGCAAGTACTTCTGCTGATGAGTTCGTTTGCTTTGAGATCATGAAACATTAATAAGAAAAAATAGCTACTGTTGATAACTGCATTTGTATGACCAAGCTAAAAGTCAGTCAACACAGGACCTAGTGGTTAGATAAATGATTTTGTATTTGGAATTTGTAGAGGCTTACTCAAAATTAGCAAACAAGTTTTGCCCTCTTTGACCTTTATTTAATAGGGCATCTACCAAAATCTATATAACGGACTTCTCTAAAATTTCTATGTCTGTTAAGCCCTTTTATGTGTTCTTATTTTGGCTGGAAGTTTCTTGGATTGTTGTGCTACTTCTTGAGGCTTGAACTTTCATATAACCCTTAATTTGGGATACATTTTTAGCTGTTGTTTCTTTTCCTGCATGTGAATCTTGCATTTCAGTTGCAGGATATCTCCTCTACAAGTGCAGGTATTTTTTCCAGCTTGTTAGAATGGAGATTTCTTCTTACAATACAGTGCTTCAGCAAAGTAGTGCATCTGAAGGCTGAGCTCAGTGCCATTTGACAAATTTTCCTGCTTGTTTGGTTTTTTTTTTTGTTGTTTGTTTTTTTTTTTGTTTGTTTTTTGTTTTTTTTAAAAAAAACAACCCTGGCTTCTCTAATTCTCATAGGATTTGATCAAACAATGTAATGTGCTAATAGAAGAGATGCTGCAGATTCTCATCTATGTTGTGGGTAAGTTTCTTTTCTTTCTATTGTTGTAGTAATGGATTATTACAATTAGACACAATGGGCTTGATGACTTTCTTTAGCATGGATGGTATGGAGAGGACACTGGAAAACAGATGGTTCAGTAACACGAGTATTTGTCAGCTAGAAGCAATGAGGGTTGCATAGTGAAAAAAACTGCTAGATAACTTCATAATTGACTATTAAATTAGAATATGAAGAGAAACTCCATCTCAGCTCATTTTTTTTAGGAAGCGAGGCTAAAATATTTGTCTTCTCTGACACTTGGGATAGTTTCTGGCAAATGCAAACTTATACTATGAAACATCCCAGCAAAATATGCAAAATTCAGAATTCCCTTATAATTGTCATATTTGCCATTCTTCTCCTTTTGATTCACTCTGGTAGGCGAAAGATATGTGCCTGGATTGAGTAATGTGACAAAAGAAGATGTTGTAATGAGAGAAATCATCCATCTGTTATGTATTGAACCAATGGCTCACAGTGCAATTACCAAGTCCTTGCCTGAAAATGTGAGTCCTGATTTATTTACTTTTTTCCTTAACTTACTTTTTCTTGTTTTATGTATTTTTCTTCTTTAGCTTCCATATCTTCATATATGGAAGTGGTTTGTTTTTTTTTTTTTTTTCTGATATAAAGGTCAAATGTTGGTTACAGAACTGCAAAATACCATGACAAAGGGGCTTACACACCTTACTGATGTAAAGGTAAATGTCATGGGTTCAAGTATGGTCTAATCTGAAAAGGGTTGTAGTGGATTGTGCTTTTTTGAAGAGGTCGAATTTTTTGGATTATTTAACTGTAGTTGTCCTAGATTAAAAAAGAAAAGTTTTCACTTTCTCTTTGGGCCCTGTAGGGCCATGCAACTGTATTCCATTCTGCCCTGTGTACCATCAATAAACTTGGTCCTGTAATTTTGATCGCTTAAACCTGTGCAGAGCCCTTGGAAGTCAAGTAATTGTACAGGTCTGTTTGAAAGCACAGATTTCCCTGCCATTCTATTCCAGCTGTTGAAAACTCAAGCAAAGGAGAGGGATGTGGATTAGATTTTTTAGCCTGTGCAAGTTTTCAGGGCTGGAAATCAATGCAAAAAAAATTCAGTTTTATTATACATTAAATACCCTGGAGTATTATCAGAAACCAATAATGATCCACATCCACCGTTTTAAGAGACTAAAACTCTGTTTTTTCCCTCTGTTGAGGTTAAATAATGCACTGCACTGTTTCTGGAGATCATATCTGTTATAAATAAAATTTTACATGATTAAATGAAAGTATTACCTGTCTTTAGTACTTCCTTGTAACTTGTCAATTATGAATATCTACTTTCTGAATGTGGACAAAATATATTAATTCATGAATTAGGGAATCGATCTAAAGCTGTATGTCTATTTTTGTTACACCTAGCATAATACAGAAGATATTTGAATCATTATATATTTATTCCAAACTAAATTTTTTACCAGGAGAACAATGAAACTGGCTTGGAGAGTGTAATTGATAAAGTGGCTACATTTAAGTAAGTTCTTAATATTGTTTTGTAAGTAGCTTGAACGTGAACTAAGATCTCTTAGATTATATGGGTTAAACAAGCTGCACTGCACAGTCTCTGTTTAGCTACTGTTTTGCTGTCTTGAAATATATATATGCTTTCAAATATGCATAGGAAATAAAAGTGTATGGAATATCTGAAGCTGCTACTTCTTTACTTTTGCCCCCTCTCTTTCTTCAAATTTAGGAGTTCTACTGGGAAAAATCTTTAAAAGTTCCTTTTATTTCAGACGTGGTTGGGAACCTTAACAACTCATTGTACCTTTGATAGTCACCACCTAATCATTGGTTTAGGTGTTTAGTTGCTAAGTTGCTGAAACTTTCAGATGGGAATTAGTTTTATTTAACACATATATATATATATATATATGCGCAGATATAGAACAATCAGTTGTAGCAGTTCAGAAAAACTAGTTCAAATGTCTGCTATTTTTGTTACAAAAATGTCTTATGATTTTAATTATTTTAGTATATTTTAAATTTAACGTGGCTCACTTGTTTACGTTTAATCAAGGGCAAGATAGGTGTACCTTAGAATTTTGCTTCGGGAATTGTATGGAAGTTTCAAAAAAGTCTCACTAGATGGAAAGTAGCTGTTTGTATTACTTGTTTTGTACCTTGGTTAAAGAAAGTAATTAATTTTACACAATAACATCCAATGTCTGAAATTCTAACCCATAAAGGTAAAAAGAATTTACCTGACAAAGGCTATGTGGTGTACTGTAGATGGTGTAGACTAGAAATTTTGCTGCTGGGTAGAATTTACAGTAGTAGAGAGTCTTGAAAATTGAAGACTGATAACTGTATGCTATGCTTTTTATAAGCTCATGAAGCAACTATCACTATTCCACTTCTTATTAGCATTTCCTTAGAATCTAAGTTTTGTTACTGGCTTGTTCATGTTCAAAGATGTGGTGAAAATACATTATTAATCTGTATGTCATGAAATATTTCTCTGTAAGGAAACCAGGTGTGTCTGGCCATGGAGTTTATGAACTGAAAGATGAATGCTTGAAGGAGTTCAATATGTTCTTTTATCACTATACTAAGACCCAGCACAGCAAGGTAAGCAGCATAAGATTCACTCTCAACAGTTAAAAAATAGTACATGCATACCAATGTCTAAAGAATTTTGCTGAATCAAAGGAACCTAAAGAAACTGATTCAGTAAAAAGTATATGCAGCTAACTTTGAAACTAAACTTCTAATTAAGTTAATATTGTTAATACAAATTGATGCGCTGTGGTTTGCATTAGTATTTTCCCTGTGGTGAATTCTGTATTAACTCTGTTAACTGTTTATACTAAGAACAAAATATGATAAGAATTATCTTTGAACTGGAAAATCCCAAACCCTGCATTTATAACTCTTATTGAGGAAGCAAGTGTGTCCAATTATTCATCCCTACTACAAACTGAAATATGAAATGCAATATTGTCAAAACAGATTTTGGACAAGATTCTAGTTACATGACCAAGTATTGACTATGTATCTTGCCACAATTCTAGTTTAGGGTTTCTCATTTTTTCATTGTGTACTTCTGTAGAGATGCTGATGTAATAACACTACTTTTTCTGTAGGCTGAACATACACAAAAGAAAAGAAGAAAACAGGAAAACAGAGATGAAGGTAAAAATTTTAAACTGATGACTGAACAAATGTGGTAATTCAGTAGTGTATGTAGCTGTGAATATAGAATAAGCTTTGGGAGGTGTTTGTGACTTAATGATGGACACTTGAATTCATATTAAATTTGTTGTGATTTGTAGTAATTATAATTAATTAGCATCTGATATGTCTTGTATCTTTTTTCCTTTCTTTAACACACAGATAAGAGTTTTGGAATTTTTCATTTAATTTCCATTTAGGCAAATAAACATGGCGTAGTACCCATTGTGTTTGCATGTGTTTTATACAAGAACTTACTAAAAGTACTTAGATTTGCTAAAGATAAAAGCTGACTTAGGTGAACAATTGTGTTTGAGTGTGGTTTTATTAATTTAAAGGTCCAGGTGTTCTGTCACTGGAATCAGTGTTTTTGTGCTCTCTACTTTGTCCGCAATATTTGAAATGCCTGTTTGTTAATATATTTGCACTTCTCTTTTCTAGCATTGCCACCACCTCCTCCTCCACACTTCAGTCCTGCATTCAGCAACGTGGTGAGGATTCTGAACTGTGATGTTATGATGCACATACTGCGGACCATTCTTCAGAGAGCAGTAGAACTGGAAACCCACTTGTGGACTGAAGCTATGATCCAAATGGTATGGTTAGCTTTGGTCTTCTTTCTATGGTCATTCCTGTGTTGACTGTATTAACTACTTATGGATAAAATCAAAATGTGTAAAGATAAACTTTAGCTTTGAATGGTAAGAATTTACTTTTCATTCCCAAACCTGTTTTTATAAATCTTACCAACAAAGAAAATATTTCTAATTATTTATCAATATGCAGTTCTCCTTACCTCATCTTTTTCTTGAAACTTCATGTGCAAATAAGTAACCCTTTGATCATCTTAAAAAAATTAGTGTTGCTTCATCTTGTAAGATGTAAAGTTTTCAAATTTGTAAATGTCTTTGAGGCCTAAGTCATGAAATAATATAATTTTGTAAGTATTTAAACATTTCATTTTACCACTGTTATTTTATACATTTTTTAAAAAAAAAAAAAAGGGATTAGGACTTGAATTTACAGGCTGGTTGAATTAATCAGTTTTGTTAAAGTGCATAGATTATTTAATTGCCTTGCCTTACTTGCTAATCCTTGGATTATGGAATGAACCAAATATTCATACATTTGAATTAGCAAAATGACAAGATCCATGTTACTAATTTAAAGTGTGTGCAAGTTTATTAATTTTAAGTGCAAATAATATGCAGGAAAATTATGTATTGTTATTTCACTTTCCATGTATGGATCTCTACACCTTTTCTCATTTCTGTGTTTTATCATGGATATAATCAGCATATAGTACAGAATTGTATTGAACATCCTTATTTTATATACCAGTTTTCCAGACCTCTAACAGTGAATAAGATTTACTACTTTTTTTTTTTTTAGGTGCTTCATCTCCTCTCTTTAGGATTACTAGAAGAGAAGCAGCAGTTACAGAACTCTCCAGAAGAAGAAGTAACCTTTGATTTTTATCACAAAGCAACAAGTATGTTTAATTTTCTTTAAAAGAGTAAAATTAAGCTGACTTGATTATGTAAGGACAAAAAATAAACTAGAAGAAACAGTAATTTTAGTCAGAAAGGATTTACTTTTTGCTATAGAATTAAAACCTGATAATCTTATTTATTTATGTTAAATAATTAAGAAATGAGTTTTGGGCTAGCTTCCTTTGTTCCCAGTTGCCAGGGAACATTAAAATGTTGAAGGTGGTGTGGTGTTTTGGGGTTTTTTGTTTGTTTGTCTTCTCCTGAAGACCAGTGCTTTTCTATTTTTCTCTCCTTTGTAAAGGAATGGGAAGCTCAGCCTTGAATGCTGTGAGTGTGTTAATGCTTCTGGAAAAATTGAAGAGAGTGCCTCAGCTAGAGGCACAGAAGGACACAGTCAATTGGATACTACAGGTACACAAGGGGAGACTAAGTATGATCTGATTTTAGTAATTTAGAAAGCTTTTCTGAAGGACGTTATGATTCCTAAACATAATCTGGTGTTTAGAGCTGCAGTGATTTCCTGAGAAGCTTGATCTGTTGGAACATTTGTTTCCCCCAAGACGAGATGGTTTCTTGAATACTGCATTAACACTTACAAATCATTGTGCTTGTTATTACTGCTTTCAAGTATTGAATCAGTTTTTGTTTAGATAACTCATTCCAGTAATGACATTTTTATACATAATCTTAATTCTTCATAATTCTTGCAAATAACAGCAAGTGATAAGTAAAGGTTTATTAATTGGGGAAGCCTTTTAGAGGTTGCTTGTGTTAAGACTTGAGTCATACGGCTCTGAATAATGGCCACATTGTACATTTGACCTGTAAAACTTTTCCAACTAACTCCCTGCCATTACCCGGTAAGAGATGGGAAAAGCTTCTGGAGCTGTGACACCTTCTCTAACATAGGAGGCTGCTGCTTCTGCTTAGCAGGAGTACTACTGTCCTGTTCCATTTTGGGCTTCTTGTTTTAGGTGGCTTCTTGTTTTAAGTGGCAAACATAGAAGACAGTGCTCTTGGAAAAGAGGGTAAGAATCCATAGTAGGGTTCCAAAACTATCCTCAGCTACTAAAACTGAACTATCCTTGTACATTAGGGAGGCAGCTTTGAAAGATTTTTTTGATAAGTTATTCTTCTAAAATTCTAAGGGCAAAAGTAAAAATGTTTAAAAAATTAAATATACTTTTTTAATGATAAGCATAATAAATGTGGAATAGCTACTATTATAAAAAATTCAAGATGCTTTTTAAAGTAAAGATAGCTGGAGAAAGTAGTAAATGAAAATTGAAGGCTCAGTTTTAACTAATTGGACATATACTGGAAAGCTTTCTGTTCCAGATGTATAGGTTCTTGCATTATTTTAGTGGCTATTTCCATTGGTTGATCCACATTGCACCTGCTTGAAATAAGCTAGCAATCTCTGTCCATTCTTCTGCTTTAACTGCTTAGCAGTATTAGTGCTAGAAGACTGGAAAATTGGGAAGAGTTTTATTTTCCTTCATACTGAGCAGTGCTTGTCAAGTTTAGGATATAGACATAACAGTGTTACAGAAGTATATATATGGACTCAGCTAGATATTTTTCTTATTTAGGAGTATGTCAGTTGGTTTCATCCATTTGACAATCTGAAAATAAAGTGAAACTAAATATCAAGGGTTTTATTTCTGTCTATGTTGTAATAAGAGACAAGTTTCATTTTACTTTTAACATCTGTCTCTATTCCTAGATGTTTGACACAGTGAAAAGATTGAGAGAAAAATCTAGTTTGACAACAGTAACAGCTACATCAGGCTCAGAAGCTACAAAAGGTGATGAGGTAATAATAAAAAAAAATGTGCAGTGGAAGCCTTGTACTTAAAGTTTTTGGATATCTGTTTTCAGAAAGGTGCCTACGTTTATTGTTATCTAAAATGATAATTTGAAAAATATTAATTTTTGATATATTGTCTACAAGTAAGATTTGGGTTCCAAGATTAATTTTTTTAATAAATTAAATTTATGCTAAGCATGTTTCATAGACCACAGCTAATGTGGTTTTGGTTGTACTTCCAAGTTAAGTGAAACCACTGAGTGGGGTAAAGAAGTAATTTGTGTTCATTTCTCCATTTCTTATCTTTATGATTTGACCACCTTTTCTATTATGTTGTCACTGTGCAATAATTAGAAATACAAATCCACTTCAAATGATAACTTGTAATTTACATGACAGAGATTAATCTGCTTTGCCTTGATTGTATAAGGACATCACGCTTAGGTGATTATTCTGTCTGTGTGTCAGTCTCTACCCCCTTTCCTCAACTCTTGTTTTGAATCCAGTGGTGAAATGACACAGTGAAACGGAGATTTCAAAGGTTACTGCAGTTCCTTGAGGGAGGTTTTTTAAATTGGCAATAGAGTAGAAAAGAAGAATCTGATTACCCTTAGTGTGCAAAGACAAGCCAGTTTGCTCTTACTTACTCTGTTTGGCAACAGCTTGCTGCCAAACAATCTCTTGGCTAGTCATTGCATGCATAGCTCTAAACATATCACAGCATATGCTGTGTTTCTTTTTTAAGAAAGGTGTCATATGATATCTGGTAAGGTAAGGGAATATAATACGAAAGTCAGTAAGAAATGAAACTCTTACAGTTCCACTACTCGTGGAGCAATTTGTGTTGTTTCATTTCCCCAAAAAATAATAATATTGTGAATGGAAGCAATGTGTATAATGTTGAATTTGTCCTTAAGTAAGTAAATAAAAGGAATTAGGTTATATATGTTTTCAGTCTACCTGTGTTTTTTGAATTCCGTGTTTTCAAAGCGTATAAAGACTTCATTTTTTGTTTTTGAGAACATGATAGATGAGAGAATACTGTAAGAAGAATAGTCTTCCAGTCTGCAATAAAGAATAGTAAGGGAAAATATAATCCTCAGGTGCATAAAATGCTGCCACAAGAATGTAGGAACACTGTTTGCTGTGTTGTCCATAGGTAAAGATAAAACTTTCTCAAATTCCTGTAAGGGAGATACTGAGTACTTGGTAGCAGTTTTGCTTTTGGGGAGAATAACAGAACACTGAAGGAGGCTTGTGATGTTCACCTCACTAAAGTTTCTTAAGAATAGCCAAGCACCTAATTAAAATGGATCGGTTATTGTTGATCCTGTCTTTGGGCAAGGGGTTGTACTGGTGAGCTTTTGTGGACCCCTCAAAATCTCTCTTTTTAATTAACCAAGTCAACATTTAAGATTTTAGTTTTTTGTTTTTAAGATAGCAGTTAACTTTATTTTAATTTTTTTTTTTAATCATTGAAGTGTTGTCAGTTAAGGAATTTTAGATCAGTGGTTAGAATGCGTATAGTTGTGGAAAGATTCTTCTCACTTTTTGGTGTTCTCTGTTGCCTGTGATTTCTTTATTCTCTTTTATTATAAGACACAGAGCACTCAGGATAAAGAGAAAGCTGAGCGGAAGAGAAAGGCAGAAGCAGCTAGGTTGCACCGTCAGAAGGTAATGGCCCAGATGTCTGCACTGCAGAGGAATTTCATTGAAACCCATAAGCTCCTGTATGAAAACACACTGGAGGCGCAAGGGAAAGAAGATACTATTATGGAGGAAGAAAGGTAATTAAAAACAGGCATCCAGAGTTCTGGTGGGAAGAGATCATTAGCTGCTACATAAGTTCATTATGCTACATTAAATTTTTGAAAGTACATTCAAGGGACAGATTGTGTCGTCCCAGTCAGCAAACTTGTGTTTATGTACTTTTAAGTCAGCTTCTGGTACTAACTAACAAAGAAGGTCTGGTTGGGGATGTGAAGGTTGGGGGCAACCTTGGCTGCAGTGACCACAAGATAGTGGAGTTCAGGATCCTGCCCAGAGGAAACAAGGCAATAAGTAGGATCACAACCCTGGACTTCCGGAGGGCTAACTTTGGCCTCTTCAAAGACCTGCTTAGAGGAATCCCATGGGCTACGGCTCTAGAGGGTAGGGGGGCCCAAGAGAGCTGGTTAATATTCAAGCAACGCTTCCTTCAGGCTCAAGATCGCTGCATCCCTAAGAATAAGAAATCTAGTAAAGGAGGCAGGAGGCCTGCACGGATGAGAAAGGAACTTCTGGAGAAACTCTGTCAGAAGGGGGAAATTTACAGAATGTGGAAAAAGGGACTGGCCACTTGGGAGGAATATAGGGACGTTGTCAGAGTATGCAGGGATGCAGTGAGGAAGGCCAAGGCCTGCCTGGAATTAAAATCTAGCAAGGGGTCAAGGACAGTAAGAAGGTCAGCACTGAAAGGAAGACTAGGGAGAGTGTGGGGCCGCTGCTGAAGGAGGCAGGTGCCCTGGTGACAGAGGATGCAGAGAAGGCAGAGTTACTGAATGCTGCCTTTGCTTCAGTCTTTACCGCCGGCCTGCGGGAATCCCAGGCCCTGGAGGTAAGAGAGGAAGTCTGGAGAGGGAAAGACTTTCCCTTGATTGAGGAGGATCAGGTTAGGGACCATTTAGCCAAACTCAACACTCACAAATCTATGGGCCCCAGTGTGATGCACCCTCGAGTGCTGATGGAGCTGGCAGATGTTGTTGCAGAGTGTAGTGGTTTTACCCACAGTAGAACCATGCGGTCCTGCATTCCCTCCCCACACCTGGTGAGATGGGATGGGTGACCCAACCAAGGGGGCATGGGATTAGGA